AGCTTTCAATCCTCCTTGGTGAAGTAAAGCTCGGCGCTCTTCGGCATGTTAGCTTGGTAGGGCAGGATCCCCTCGTTGGATTTTAGCTAATAGAATCGCGTTCCCCCCCATGGCTCAAGGTGCCCGTCGCAGTTAGGTTACTTTGCCGGATGAGGGGAGGAGTTCAGGGTGCTCGGGCACAGCGCGCACCCGTCCCCCCTCACGACCTCACCCCTTGAGACTGCGAACTCCAGAGTGTTGGCGATGACGATGAAGGCACCTTGAGCCAAAATGGCTGCCTGACAATCAAGAACCTGACTCTCTCTCTCTCTCTCTCTGCTTTCGAAATCCAGCCAGTCCTGTCCGACCTTCACGAGCACCTTCTTCGTGCCTCCCGGCGCAACTTGTGAAAGCAGAATGTAACCCCAGAAACTACAGTGCCTGCACTGTAGGACTTAACTTGGGCTAAGTCGCCCATGGCTTTGATGACTTCACCACAGTTGGAGGCCGGCTCCAGCAAGAGCTGCAGCTCCTCACCTGCAAAACAACAGAAGCAGTCAAACCGAGGTAATTACACGGCAAACCACGGCCCTGCGGCCTGAGGAGTCATACTGGGGCCCACACGCAGCTGGCGGACCTTGCTGTTCAGTTCATTGCGCTGCGCTTCCAAGCGACGCAGGTTGTTCTTGCCTGAGTTGCTCAAGCTGAGCTGTCATGCGTCTGTTGCACAAGCAGTTGGATCAGACTGTCAGAAACTGTTCACGGCTTCGTGAATTGGATGTGACTGGTGTCGGGCCAGACTCACTACGTCTACAGAAGCAACGGTGGGTACTGAAATTCTATCTGCTCTGACAGAGATATATCATGATATATCCAGAGATACTGACATCGCCAAAACCCAGCTAGGTGGTGTGGACTTCTAGGATAAGCTTGTCAACAGAACATGTGAGAATTCGTCAGGATCTCATGGCATTGCTCCAAGAAACGATCCTTGATGATTGAACTCAGCTCTTGGATCTTCGTGTCCTGAGCCAGCATACCGAAGGCTGCGGGTTAGGCCAGGGTTCTGAAGCCGCCGTAGCAATGTTGCCAAGATGCATAGTAACTTTGAATTCCGACTTTGCTGGCGGTCGCTACCATCGCGGCCGCCATCAGCTACAACCCAGGCTGGATGCTAGGCTGCCGCGCGAGCCCAAAGGGACTACCATGCAGGCTCAACGAGCTGACTCGCATTTCTCGCACCCATACACATAACATTATGTGAGCTATGGCAGCTGGCTGACAGCAAAATGCAATGCATTTCAGGATCGGAGGCTCGGGCCGGTAGGCAGGCAATGACCAGTGGACCTCGGCTGCAGCGAACTGTCATTCGGTTTGGCTATAGGCCTGCCAGAAGCTCCAGCAGTCTGAGTTACGTAGGCTACCTGCCGAAGGGAATGAGCCACAGTCAAGCAATGTCGCACGTGTAGCTGCCTGGGCCTGGACCCACGATTTTTTGGGGCTTCATGTGGCCGCAACTGCCTTGAATCTCTTGAAGCACATGCCAACGATTGGTGTGGTGGTAACTTCAAAATGCCCCTACAGGAGTCACAAGCATGGGAATCGCTTGTGCCAAGGGCCAAAAAAGAGCTCCCACATAGAGCGGATTGACTGCGCGTGGATTAAGTCGAATCAACCTTTACATGTCTTTGGGAGGCGAGTCGGAAACCGAAAACCACTGCCACTCATAACAAGTCATGACACGAAGCTGCTTTCCCAAACACTGCCAGTCCTTCTCTCCACAACGTTGTCGGTGAGCTTGCTTGCTAGCTCTGCGGAGGTGTGCGGCCATAGGAAAGTTGATCAATCGCAGCACGTACGCTTTGCCTTACATGGTGAGACGCGACGGAGACCCGTGGCACGATGTGGCCATTCCTCTGACATCTGATGAACCGAGAAGCTCTTTTCAGGGAGAGGCACTCGGTGATCGACTTCTCGAGAATGCGAACTCAGAATACTGCTATGAGCAAGAGATCTGTTATCATTCGTTCTCTACGGGGAAGAGCGATTTCGTTGAGATCTCGCCTCATCTCACAGGCCTTACTGCATGTACCTGTCATTCAGGGCTTGTCCCGAGTGAACCTGTGCTGTTTGGTGAATGGACTGTGAAGAAGATTCAGTCTTCCATTTCTGAAGCTTGGAAGGTGATCTTAGCAGCCGAGCCGAAGCACATTATCCTTCATCCTGTCATTCCTGTCCAGTGGCCCAGGAAGGTTTTCCTTCTGGCATTTCTGTGCAAAGAGGTTTGCCGCTGGCAGGATGATAAAGGTCGAGGTTACTTTGTTCCTATCATGAACCTCTCTCACTCGGGGTTTTGGTTGTCTCAGTGTAGTCGTTCCGTGCAGTGGAGATCTGGCATGACCTTTTCCACTTTCAAGAACAAGGGGTAAAAGGTGCATGGCGAGTTGAAACTCTTGACGAATTTGCCCGAGAGAACACTGAATCGCTTGGAATCACTTGATGAAGGTTATGATGTAGCGTCGGTGTTTGATCCTCGATTTGCCGTGTTGCTGTCACAGTGCTTGATTGGTGCCACATTCAGATCTCCGTCAAGCCTCTCTATTCGAAGACATCTTTGAGGACTTTGATGACGGGGCTTTGTGTGCGCTTTGTCTCCGTTCAGAGAGGCAACCGTAGCCAGCAGGACTACTTCATAGTGGAAATTTCAATGGACAGGGCTTCAGTTTCTAGAAGTGAACGAACGCATTTCGACCTTTGGAGCAACTCGGTCCACGGCGCTTGATGAAGCTGTTGAGCCGCCGGATGACCTGGGAACTGAAGCAAGTACGTTGAAAACTCGGAGCTCGAACTTGCGTGAGCTGCGAGCCAACAGCTGCACTGATGCGGCCAGCTGCGACCTATGGGTGCATGCTGGCACCGAAAACACAACAGCCTTCGAAATGAACTCCAAGCGCTCCAAAAGCAGCACAGGTGGCTGAGGCAAGTATGTAGGGCTGCTTCCGAGTGAAGCACGCAAGCGAAAGAAAAGGTGCCACGTGAAGATCCTGACACAAGATCCAATGCACAGCCAGCGCCACGGCCAAACCAAGAACAGACCCAGGAAAGGGGCCTCCTCCGAAGCGAAAGGTGCCTGCAGGCTCTGAGGCACAAAAGTCGTCCTCTCCGGCTTAAAGAGAAGCCAAGCTGCTGGCAACCTTTGTGAAAGCCTCGAATGCTGCACGGTAGTCCCACTCAGCCCCAAGCCTGAGCAAAGACTCTGCCTGTTCGCTCCACTCCAAGTCGAGAGGCGAGAAAGTTTGGAGGCAACGACGCGCTTCGCACTGCTGCATGTCCATTTTTCGAGACTTCCACGATTGCCGCACTCAGTGTGGCAACAGGCCATTAACAGTTCGGAAGACGTGCCTTGCCTATGGTTTCGTGCTAAATCACGACGCGGCCTAGCTCCTCCAGATCGTGCTCCGCTAAGGATAGAGCATTCTGATCACCAGTCGCACGGGCGTGCTCAAACCGTCTCATTGCATCAACAAGCTGCTTGCCGGTATCGCCCAGCTCTTCATACCGCGTCTGGTGCCCGTCATCACCTTCCACCATTTGTTTAAATTTCTGAAGCCTGTCACTGGCCGACATTGGCTCCGGAATACTTGAAGGAATAGGTTTGCCGCTAGCATCAACTTGAATGTCGCAAACTGTTCCAAGCTGGTCCCAAAGCTTATTCCGCTCCGCTTTCGTCAAAGTCAGAGACAGTTCTCCCGCATCCAGAGACCAAAGAACGTCATCACCTCGGATGTTGTGGAAGAGCTGCCGGTCAAAAATGGGAATGCCTCTGACCAGAACCAGCAGCTGCGCTCCGCCGTTCGATGATCGGACTTCGATGTCCTTACTCTTGATACCTGCTGGCAAAGTCCACCAGCAATATACTTCGCCTCCTGCCTGTTCAAAGCGAGTCGGCTCCCCCTTTCTGCTGGCTTGCAAGCTTTTCAACTCCTCATCTGCCTGCCTCTCTAGATTTCGTCTTTCTGCCTCCTCCTCGGCATCAAGCTGTTTCTCAATGCTTGTTCGTTGGTCTGGAGACGGAGAAACAGTCTTGGGTTTAAAGCCACTGAACAGCGTATCTATCTCCGCTTTGTCCGCACCTGACAAGCCCACTCTGTCAGCAACCAGGTCCCGTGGCTTCTTTTTGACGACCAAGGATAGTAGCGGATCGGCGTCTCGGACCTCCTTCTTCTCTTTAGCATGCAACTGGATGGGATCCTGGCGCCCGAGAGCCCGGTCTTCCAAGACACGCTCACGGTACTCGTTCTTGACAAGCTCATAGTTCGTAATCTCTCTCTTGTGGTGCATTGCTTGCTGCTTTTTGCTTGCACGAATTTCTCTAAAGAATGTGTCCATAAGCTCCACTTGCGCATCTGGCAGACCCATCTTGTGATATGGTAGTTCGGAGATGGGCACCTGCTCCTCTTTCTCACGGAGCTTGCTGTAGCCCTCGAATGCAGCAAAGCCCTTCTTGTTGTTCACATCCTTCGTGTCAAAAGCCCGTGGGATGGAACTGAAATCGGCGTCACCCTTCAGCGTCTCTCGCAGCTTCTCCTTGGCCGCCTTGGCTGCCTTGGCCCTGGCAGGAGTTTGACCATTGTCTTCGAGGTCCAAACCATGAAGCAGGCCTTTGGCCTCCTGGTTTTTTGCATCAACCTCTAAGCATCTCAGAATCATTTCCTTTGCTTCACTGTGTCTCCGCAGGCTTTTCAAAGCCACTGCTGCTCGCAGCAATGCCTTCTCATGCATTGGTTTGTGCTTTAGGGCTGCCTGGCAATCATCCAAAGCGTCAGCCCAATGTTCCTGCCTAAGCTGCGACTCTGCTCTGTTGGCATAGAGCGTGACTGACAGTTGCGTGAGCGTGCTTGACAGGCTGGGGCCGGCGGCACTCACAGCAACAAGTGCTCGTGACCACTTGGCAGCAGCTTCCTTGTAGGAACGGGCGGCAAAAAGAGCGTTTCCTTGCTCTTTTAGGGCAGATGCCGATATTTCGGCGGCATCCTCCAATGAGTCCGAGCTCTGAATGTGTGGGATTGGCAGGAGGCCGGTGAACTTCTTCCAACCCACCGTTGGTGGCACTCGGGAGTCCGACTGAACTGCATACAAGGGCTTCCTGTCCTGGCCAATAATCCACCCATAAGAGCTCATGCCCGTTTTCTGGCTCTTATGAGGCTCTCGGGAAAGCATGCACCTCTGGTCGTTCTCGAACACTGGGGCATCATGCCAAACCCGACTTGTGCGGACATACAACCCATCAACATCTTCAGAACCTGCACCGACAACAGCGACGGCCGCGCTGGCTTCGCCACTCAGTGCCATTGGAATCTTTGTAGACATTAGGCAGTCTCGAGCCACGCCCGCTTCACGCATTGCAAAGTAAACTTGCTTGTAGCCCGGTGCATACAGCGAATTCATGGGGCCTTGGTTCAGAGAGTGGAGCTCACTGCCCACACCAGTGTCCACGCGCCTCCATCCTCCGGAGTGGCGCTGCTCGCATCGTGCCTGCACGAAAAAAACACACCCGTGCCTGCCACAGCCGAGGTGCTTTTCTGCATTATCTTGTAATTCGCATGAGTTGGGACGGACAAACGCAAACGCGGACTGATGTCGCCCTCTGCCATGCGAGAATTGCGGAAATGCAAGACATGAATGGCACCTGCTGCTATTGCTTTATGCTTCGCAGGCTTCGCTTCGCGACGTAGCATCCGCAGCAAGTTACCACAGCCAACACCTTAGCAAGCAAAAGAACAAGAACGAGATTGCAACTTCCGGCACACCTTGAAATCTTGTGCTGGCTCCTGGAGCCTGTCATTAAGGTGCCGACCCGGCACATGCCACAGGCCAGCCTCCATCAATGGATCTCCTGGCTGAAAGATCAATCAAACCTTCAAAAGTCGGAGTCGCCTCTTTCGCCTTCGCTCCCGGTTCCTCGCACTCATTGCCGCAAGCCCTGAGCTGCAACACACCCGGACAGCTACTAACTGAGTCAATTGACATGTGAAGTGCCTTTTGGCGGTGGTCTCCGGTTCGTGACATGTCACGTTGCAAACTGCACTTCAGGATTCAGCGCCCGGCTCGAAACGCCAAGCCTGCAGCGCGCCGCCTCCTTCCTCGTACATGGGCCTCTCTTCACTGGGCAGGGCTAAGCAACACTTACTTCCGCGTCGCACGTCGCAACAGCGATTCTATTAAGGCAAGCGGAGCCGGAAACCGTCCATGCGAGATGCCTCAGCTTCCGCGCAAATGCTGCGCTGCACACCTGTTGGAAAACAAAGCACCCATAGAGAGATACAACGATAGGCATTTTGCCTTCAGGCTTGAATCAAACCCTGCCGAATGAGGAATGTCAGGCACTCGTTGAGCATCTTTGGTTTTCACGAGTATGAGCCTTGATTCTGCTTGGCCTTGCTCCGAGCTTCCCGGAAAACAAAGCCTTACACTTACACATCTTAAACCATCTGGAAGCTTCCTGATGTCCTAGGCTGTCACCTTCGGCGACGCGTAGGGACCCGAGGGGAGGCCCTAACCTCGCTGCAAGCCACAGATCGCATGACGATGAACTTTGATGAACGATGGGTCCCCTGTTTAACCTCGGACAATGCTTCACCTAGCTGCTTAACTGTCTGCTTGCCGGACTGCGCCCGAAATGCAGCCTCTCCTTCCTGCCTAGCTGAATCTAGCTGAATTGCCCGGCTTCGCGCTCTACAATGCCTCTGCATGTGATCGATTGAGCCAGCGCACGATGCAGCTACGATGAAGATGCCTCCCCTCTACAAGTTCGACGACACTGGGCAACCCTGCCACCCCTCACTTGCCCTTCGCCCCTTCCAGGCACAAGGAAAGGCCACGTTCCAGGTGTTGGCCTGCCATGGTCTCCTGGAGGACGTGCAGCTCCAACATCACAGTACAACAGCCCTGACAATCAAAGCACCTTGCCGTCTCGACTCGAGCAGGTAATGTTCGTCGAGCGCTCTGTTGGACTCCTGCCCGGTTTAAGCTCATACACATCACTTCCATTGACTTTTCTGCCCCACACCAGGTCTGGGCAGGGGATGTGCGCGCTCACCCACCCATCCAACTGACCAAACCCGAATCGTTCCGGGCAGCCGGTGGATCATCCCGTCAAATCCAAGGAAACTGAAATCAATGGAATCCAAGAAATATGCCTGCCACTTCAGCTGCTCATCGCAACTACTGAGATACGCCGGTGTCAGGAAGTCGCAAGCTCACGCAGATCTTCTCGCGCACGCGAAATGCCTTTAGTTCTGCCATACCCTGGTACCTGAGTGAAGATTGGTGGCCTGTCACAGGAAAGCGCGGTGTCGGAGCCGAGGAATGTCCGTTTGGAATTTCCTGCATGTATATTGCCAGTGCGGAGCGGTCCAGGCATGCCTAGTTGAAACCCAAAGAACCTTCATCGGTGTGGCTTCGAGCGCTCGCTCGAATTGCAGCTGCAATCCTTGCGTTGAGACGGGCATTTTATCGACGTAGACGGGCCGCATCAACGACTTCAGCGGCTTCCAGCGGATCGGATCAGTGCACCCAAGTCGCCCGACTGCAACTGCCAATTTGCCCATCTCACCTTGACGGCACCTGGCAAAAAATACCAAGTTGGATCTGGGCGAGTTTGCGCTGCACGTGTGGAATCGCAAGCTCTGCACAGGCACCTGGATTCTCGCACGTCTTGGAGTCCAGCGCTGCTGTTGCGCTGGTGCCTTGTGCTCTACGGATCGACGGACTCCAAGTGACGAAGGGGCGTTGGGTTGTAGCATCTTCAGAAGGCGAGCACGGGGCCCACAGAGAGCCAACAAGCTGATACTTGGTAGCCCAAATTCAAGCAAAGTCAAGGCCTTCGATCGAGTATGTCATGATACTGCCCTTAAGCGCAGCGAGCAGCAGCAAGAGCCTCTGTAGACTAAGAGGGTCGCCTCGAGGCCTGGAGGAGACGTGTCCGCTTGCAAATTCGCGTGACCTCGGCCGGTGCTGTGTAGAGACAAGACGCGACTAGAACCACTTTACGACGAGTAGCTCTTGAGCTCTCCCACCACCAATTTGATCCACTCGTTCGCTTTCCTTCAGGCTCAATGTCGAATCAACACGAAGATGGCCAAGCAGGCTTGAACGCAGCCTCAACCCCGGCTGCGAGTGAATGGCTACTTCGCGGGTGACCTTGGTCAAGTACAGTGGTTACTCAAACGCCGCGATACGTATCGCGGCCTCTTTTTCGGATGCTTCACCTACTCCGAACCGAGAGGCTTAGCTTTTCGAGGAGCCGCGTAGCCTGCTTGTGCAGACTCTCTGCGGAAGCATCCTGGAAAAGCAACTGTTGCTTTGCTGAGGACGACGAAGACAGCAAATGCACACGGGATGAGCGGAGGAAACTGACGGCCAGAGAACTCTGGATGTGCTAGGTCCTCTTGGCTCTCCTTTTCCGGGTGCAGGTTCTGGAGGCGTCTCTGCAGTTCGACATTGTCTGCTTCAAGCTTCCTGCACGCAGAGACCGGTCTCAATGCATCCTGGATGTGACCCGACAGTAGCTCCTTCTGTGGAGCTCCAGCACTTCGGCCTGAACATCAGGCACTGGGGCTGGAAACGGAAGAGGCCAGCAAGGGGTATGAAGCATGTCGAGGAAGAAAGGCGAGACGCAGTGAACACAGTGACATACTCTTTGGCCAAGATGCACGACGGCGTCGCAGTGCCAGCTCTGCCTCCAGCACTTCGACGCAGTGTTCTGCAGCTCTGGCACGCTGCTCCAGTGCCTGTGCTGCAGGACTGGGAAGGATGTCTTGGACGCCCCTAGAGAAATCTAGAAACACTTCCTGCTCCCTGTCCTCGCACCGCTGTTCGGCTGCCTGGGTTCGCTGGCCGCTGACCTGTGCGAAGACAGTGGTCCAATTCTGTCCAGCTCTCGCAGTCTTAGTGGGTAGCCGTCCTTGCGTTCAGTTTCACCTCCATGCAAAAGTGCCGCACTCGACGGCTTCTTCCGGACTTCTCGTGGGGTCCAGATATGCACCCTAATTTACAGTGAGTGTACAGGCACATGCAAACCCCCAGCGGTTGATGCTGCCAGGCTCTGTCAGCAAAGGATCTCTCACCCCGCACCTTGCCCGATAGTGACTAAACTGATCCCAAGCGGGAAATCCAAGCATTCGGGGTGAGAGACCTTTTGCCATCATGGTCTGCTGGCCAAAAGCTTGCGCAGGGTTGTGGAAACACGTTCACACAGCATGTCTTCGCCCGGGCTATGTCTCATGAACATCATCCGGTATAGAACAAAAATCCACTCGCTTGCAGCAGCTGAAGGGTGGCCGCTGGCACCAAGTCGGGCGGACGCGAATGGGCATCTCCACGATTCTCGACGTGCTGCGCTGCAAAGCTCCAGTGCCATCCAAGTTCTGCAGCAGGAAGTACTAAGAACATCCGGTGATGGACCTCGCTCCAGCTGCCCATGGCTCTCAAATTGGAGGCTTTGCGCAAGGCAGCCGATTAAGGTCTCGGTAATCGGAAGTCCTTGCTTGATGTGACTATATGTGACTCCAGTGACCGTGACCAAGTCCTGATTTCCTGCATGCTGCGTTGTGACAAGTCGGACAGTGTCACGTCGACCGGACAAGGCCTCCAGCTGGATGGACTGCAGGGAGACGAGCTTTGCCAACTTTGCAACTTCGTCTGCCTCTCGGAGTCAACAAAGTGCTCCCGGTGCTCTAGGTCGAGCGAGACTTTCAATCGCACACGAGCCTCGCGGGAGCGCTGAAAGAGCTCCTTGATCGTGGCGGTACGCTGTGAATCGGATATCGCCGATGCCTGAGCGAAGATGTTGACGAAACCGCTTAGTGAATGAAGATATCTGGGCCAAAGGACTCCTTCCCACACTTCGCTCCCGCTCATGTCGTCTTCTTTGCCTTTTCCTGGCATTCCACCACGCACTTGCTGCAGCGACGCTACAAAATGAAGTGCATATTGACCATTTGAGAACCAAAAACATCGCGTCCATAAGCCCACATGCATCATACGTGGCAGCAGCAAATCATCACAAGCCTGCAGATGTCGTCCGCATTAGTTCAATCGACGTTCTTCGGAGTTTCTTGGCAATGCGCTGCCTTGCAAAGCTCCAAACAGTCTCACAGGCAACTTGTCAAGAACGTCGCAATTTGCCTCTTTTCTCGAAAGTCATCGTCACTGGTTGCTATCGACACCTCCGGCGCAGCTTGTGTATCGCAGAAGTGAACTGACTCTAAGTGCGCAGCCATGGCCATGAGCTCGTCCATCCTTGCAAGCATGGCATCCACCTTTCGGGCAACCCGCAGGTTCTCGTTGCTTTGGTAGCGGTCAGCGAGCCTTCACCTCTTCCTCTTCGCGCTCACCTCGCGCGGCATCCTGGGCGATGCAAGGCAAACCACAGTCTCGTTGGTGCTAGGACTTGGACAAACGTAGCCGACTAATTTGCTGGTCACCACATAACAGATCATCATGTAACCTGCAAAGGAACCGATCAATAGCCGATGTCGCGACTGCCATCGCAACACTATAGCTGCGATAGCGATGTGCTATCCTCTGCTTGTACAAGCATTACTGGGTTGTAGTTTTGGGGCCCTTAATAGCGCGCCCCTTCGGTGTGCATCATGAGTCTACCGTCGCGGGCAGAAGCAGCTTCATCGGGCTTGGGTCCGCTGCAACGCGCCGTCCAAAAATATGGCAACAGAGACACCAGTGACTTTGTGGATTTTCCAGGTTTTCGCATGCGGTGGGGGGGGGGGGAGGGGGTCTGTGCCG